TCGATTGCACCAGGGATTGAAGTGATACAAATATTTGAAAAAGGATGTTCAGCCAGGAAGGCGTATTTGGAAGAGCTGTGACTTTTGAACGGTGGCTCAAACTAATCAGCGCAGAAAAACAAGGACGGACCCAGACGATGACCGAAATCCCACCAATTTCGTGTTATTTCTACGTCCGAAAACAATCCAGCCCCCCTAAGAAAATCATGCCAAAATACACACCAGAAGGTAGTTAATCCATAGATTATGGCGACAGATTTCTAAGAATTTTTTCCGAAGCTCGCAGAACATCCCACCACGTAACGCGATTTGAGTGATTTCCTTTTCACCGCTTGTGCAAGTTTACCGTCGGAATCATGCTGCTATAATCGGAAGGATTTTCTAAGTAAACACAGATTAAACCTGTACTATCGATTGATATGATTGTGGATGGGACAACCAACTAGTAAAAATAGTCAGTTTAGGGATTCTGTACAATAATGAATAAACAAAAGCGCGAAATAGACATAAAATCAGTTATACACATTATTGGATATACTTCCGCATGAACTTTTTGTGAAATTCTGACCGCAGCGTGTCGTTGATGAATCCGCGCTTTGAATGATCGACCTCACCACGGGCACAATTTTTGAAGACCACGTCATCATCCCAGCGACGCTTAATCTTGAATTCTAAAAAATGAGGGAGGAAGAATGGCTTGAAAACGTCGGAACATCCGCTTCTTAATGTCTTTGACGAACGTCAACACCAATCAAAGGACTTCCATTTACATAATTACCCATGAATCTACCGGTGCCCATACCAACCAATTCGTTTTATAAAAACGAAGTTAGACAAAGTCAGCTAAGCACGATATGAGTGACTAGCATCCTAAATAAATGAATATAATAATTAGCGTTCCCAAAAGTACAAAGGAGTGAGAGTAAGGGTTGGTATTAACAAGGTCAGTCTGACTTAATGATATTATGCAATTTTCTTAATGTCACATTGTTTCGATAAAGTTACGTACCCGATGTATTATTGTTAATTAGAAGAGGGTTGCCTTTAAGAATGTTCTCCATTCTGATCGTTTCCTCAGCAGCTTTTTTTTCTGCCTCAGCCTGTATCGCCTCCTCGGCACGTTCACGCTTAATTTTGGCCAACTCAGCAAGAAGGGCTTCCTCATCTTCATCATCGTCGCTATCTTCATTCTCCTCCGATTCCGAGGACGCATCACCTTTTAGTACTTTGGGTTCCTCTTCCGTATAATCTTCTTCCCAAGGATCGTCGGCATCAAGATTTGCCGTCGGAACAGAAGCTACGTTAGAAGCAGGCCCAGAAGACTGCTTTGAGCGTTTAGTTGAACTGCTGGAGCGATCTGCATCAGAAAGAGCAGGCCTCTTTTCCCCAGCATAGGGCAATGTTGGATGGCTGGAACCTACTGAAAGGAGAGAGCAGATTAAAATAAACGAGGAGAAAGTACGTTGATCAAAGGTACCGTACTTAAAGACATGGCCGTGAGAAAAAATTAATACAGGTACCTTTTTTCGCTTTTTCAAGGGCTGCAAGCCTCTCTTTTTCTTCCAAATCCCGCTTAAAATCTTTGCCTTGGAGTTCCTCGGGTCTCCCCTGACCTTCCTGCCGGTATTTCAATCGGGTGTGTGCAGGGAGATCGCGGACAGAATATTGCTTCGAAAGAGC